TATAACCATCTATCAAAATTACTAATGCATGTAGCCTTTGACCAGTGCTTCCACTATTACGAATCCATCCTGTATGTACATGAATATGTGTGAAATAACATATATGCAAGGATATGCATTCGTTAAAACATAACTAAGCAAAATATGACGCACCGAATGGATGACACCAACAAAAGTATAAAACCGTTTAGGAACTGATGTGGAACAATCTCCAAAATACATGATTAAATGTGAAAAAGAGGTTGCAGAGCAATTTGTATACCAATAGGGGCAAAAAAGAATACATGTAATATATGTACATGCGTGTGTGAGTGTTCTATCTATCTATCTCATCTATCTCTATTGCCGTGCCATGAGGGATGCAGGATCTTAGTTCCCCGACCAGGGATTGAACCCGTGCCCCCTGCAATGGAAGCGCTGAGTCTTAACCACTGGACTGTCAGGGAAGTCCCTACACGTTATCACATTATCACTTGCCTGTAGCCACACAGACTATCTCTGGTAGGACATGTGAGGAACGGGTTAGTACTGGGTGCCTTTAGGCAGGCAGAACCAGGTGTTTGAAGGGTATGGGAAAAGAAAAGTTTCTACCATATATCCTTTTCAATTTTGAAACATGTGAATGTCACCTATTTTCAAAAAAAATTTAAAGTTCGAGGAGAAAGGGACTTCAGTCAGGAATTCATTAACTCCACTGGAAAAGTTTTAAATGAACTCTTCAATACCTTGTGGTTCTCACTGTCCACTGCCCATCAGTCTAAACTGAACTTTAAAAAAAATGATACATTAAATAGTTAATATACTAATCCTTCACACAGTGAAGTCCCCTGTTATTATATAACAATCTAGAGAAGATCCATGTTGTCTCAAGATTCTGGTACAGTACACTTAGCTGCACCTATCAGTGTAAGACATCAAACACACACAAAAATACTAATAATTTCTGGTTAAAGTACTCTTTCTGCATGCTGAAACATGATGGTTTCCTCCAGGAAAAGCCCTTGTGTGATTATTTGTATGGTAACTGTACTAGCCGTTTTTGTTTGTTGAATGACAGACAAACTACAGAAAATCAAACGAGGAATTCCCTGGCGGTCCACTGGTTAGGACTCCGTGCTCTCACTGCCGAGGGCCCAAATTTGACCCCTGGTCGGGGAACTAAAGTCCCACAAGCCGCACAGTGCGGCCAAAAAAAAAAAGAAGAAGAAAGAAAATCAAGTAGGGAATTTGATATACACTTTCTTGAAAATGAACAGAGAGCCTATCACTTAAATGAAAACAACTGACTGTTATTTGTTGTCATGATAATGTTTCAGCTTAAGAGAAAATTAGAATTTTGGAACACTTCTATGTGCTGCTGTAGGTTTGAGAGTTTCTCCATGTATAAACTCCTCTGGGTTGGCGGTGATATTAATGCATTTTAAATGCTATTTAAAATTTTATATTATGAAATATGTCAACATTTGGAAGATCAGCATAACTCAATAAAACAGTATTTTCCAAATGACCAAGATATGATGTTAGAAAACCACAGTTGGGCAAAAGATGCATTCAAAGTGCAAGGGAGACCAAGGAATTTTAATGTAACAGTACGAAGAATTCATTAATATGATTTCAGATATCACATGGCAACTAACTTTTAAGTAATTACCACTTGTTAATAAGTTTTGGTATGGCATCCAAAAAAACAATATCTAAAATTATAAGAAAGGCTAGATTTTCTTCATATTCTTCCAAAGTAAGTACTTGGGGTCCTCAATAATGTTTAAGAGTGTAAGAGAGCAAAAAGTTTAAGAACCGCTGCTCTAGGCGATTATAAACTGCTGGGTTGAAGGGATGTCTCTCTTCCATTTTTCTAGGTAATGCCCACTGCTTCTGGACGTCAGTGTGCCAATGTATACTCCCCACTGGAGCACGTGAGCCTTCCAGTTCTTCTCCATCTTGGTCAACACTTGCTTTGCCAGACTTCCTCATTTCTACCATCTGAGAGGCATACAGTGGTTTCAGTTGACGTTTCCCTGATGACTAATGAAGCTTATCATCTTTTCACGTTTACTGGCCATCTGAATTCCTTCTTTTGCGAAGCGTCTGTTCAACCGGGCCTCTCTCGTCCATTTTCCTATTGGAATGCTTACTTTTTTCTAATTGATTTGTAGTTTTATATATTCTGATAACTTCTCCATTACCCATTTTCTACCTGCCCCTCCTCCCATCTTAACCCATATTTTCTACATTCTACAGAACACATGAAAAAAGAAGTGGTGGAAGGATTTCTGATTTGGTAAGAGCAAGTGAACTGTACGTGCTCTTAGATTACTCTTACTAAAGGTGTGCTTTGCTTTTAAAGAAAGGGAACTGACCCAACCTACCATCTTCAGTGCTCATCCCTCCCTCGTAAGCAGCTTCCAGAACTCTGGGTGCTGAATTCAAACCCTGGCTCCTCAGTGAAATACTCCACACTGGAAGAACCCCATGACTCATGCAGGGATTTTTTTTTTAACAACTAAAAATCTTATTTTAGGAGTGGAGAGAATTTTTAACAAATCAGCAAGTATTTAAGTGATTTGCTAAAGGCAACACTGGGCTCCAAGGTCAGACTGAACTAGAAAGTTGAATCTCATCACCTCATCTTCAAAATTCATATACCCAACCACCCACCCCAACTCACGGCCTAGGTCTTGCCCCTTTATACTCACATTTATTGCCTCGAACAGCATAAGCAAGCTTTAGTTCTGGATGAAATCTGCCCATCTGCTCAATCACTTTTCCTGTCTGAAGCGCCAGCTCATATGTTGGGGAGAGGCACAGACACTAACGGGCAGATCATAGATCAGTTTAGGAGAGCCTTGTAGTAACAGACAACAGGCTCTAAAGCAACAAGTACACCAATGTCATTACCACTTGAACAGTGTAGGAAACCACATCCTTGTCAGCCAGGCCCACATTTCAGCTGTAGACAGAAGCCTTCAATAGGGAGCCCTGGCTTGGCAGATGCCTTCAGAAGCCACTGTTTAAGGCTGCTGCTTCCGAATCAATTCTACCCAGGTAAGGGCCTGGTGCACCATTGGGCTTTGCCTGAGCAACAGTCTGAGGCATCAGACGCATTCAGACTGTACCAGGGGCACCCTTGTTAGACAAACCCCCCCAGATAGCGCAGCCATTCCCAGGACGAGCAAGCCAGGGCCCCCAGGATTCCACCCCCTCACCTGGGGGTATCTCTCTGCTGGTTCCACTCGGCTGAGCATGGCCAGGACGAAGGCAGCTGTTTTACCAGTACCAGACTGAGACTGGGCAATCAGGTTCTGTGGGCTGGATGAAGGAAGAACAGAGATGAAAATAATATTGGTTAATAACAGTCAAGTGTCGGGACTTCCCTGGTGGCGTAGTGGTTAAGAATCTGCCTGCCAATGCAGGGGACACCGGTTCGAGTCCTGGTCTGGGAAGATCCCACATGCCGCGGTGCAATTAAGCCAGTGTGCCACAACTACTGAGCCTGCGTTCTAGAGCCCATGCTCCGCAACAAGAGAAGCCATGGCAATGAGAAGGCTGTGCACCACAACAAAGAGTAGCCCCCACTCGCTGCAACTAGAGAAAGCCTGTGCACAGCAACGAAGACCCAATACAGCCAAAAATAAATAAACAAATTTATTAAAAACAAAAAACAACCAAGTGTCCAAATGTTCTTTCTGGGTGGTAGGAATAGGGATTTTCCCCCTTCATGCTTCTATTATCCAGGTTTTCTGCACTGAGTACAATGATAAACTTTTTATATGATGTTAAAAAAAAACTGCTTAAATATTAAGTGAAATGATTATTTTAGATGGGCTCACACTAAGAAATCCTCATTCTAGACTCTAGCACAGCTAGAGTGCCCCAGTTTTATACCCCAAGGGGCCTATGGAAATTAAGACTGCAGAGTAACATCTGTGCCCAGACAAATCCCTGAGCCATAATGTGTCTTCAGGACTTGGCTCCTACTATGTGCTCCCTTTTCTCATCTTTATGGAAAATTTAAGAGAACAAGTCAGATGCTTTAGAAGGAACTTTCACATTTCACTTCAGGTAACCCAATGTCATGGGAATAGGTGGCATTTTTTTTTTTAATTTATTTATTTTTGGTTGCGTTGGGTCTTTGTTGCTGCGTGTGGGCTTTCTCTAGTTGCGGTGAGCAGGGGCTACTCTTTGTTGTGGTGCATGGGCTTCTCATTGCAGTGGCGTCTCTTGTTGCGCAGCACGGGATCTAGGCGTGTGGGCTTCAGTAGTCGTGGCACGCGGACTCAGTAGTTGTGGCTCATGGGCTCTAGAGCTCAGGCTGAGTAGTTGTGGCGCACGGGCTTAGTTGCTCCACGGCATGTGGGATCTTCCCAGACCAGGGCTCGAACCCGTGTCCCCTGCATTGGCAGGCGGATTCTTAACCACTAAGCCACCAGGGAAGTCCTAGGTGGCATTTTTATCATTAAAAAAGAGGGACTTCTCTGGTGGTCCAGTGGTTAATACTCTGAGCTTCCACTGCAGGGGGCACAGGTTTGATCCCTGGTCGGGGAACTAAAATCCCACATGCTGTGTAGTGCAGCCAAAATATAAACAAACAAACAAATAATACAGTTGAATGAAAAAAGTTGCTACCTAAGTATGATACCATTTATGTAACGTTTAAAAATATGCAAACTTGGAATTCCCTGGCAGTCCAGTGGTTAGGACTCGGCGCTTTCACTACCGAGGGCCAGGGCCCGGGTTCAATCCCTGGTCAGGGAACTAAGATCCCACAAGCCACGCAGCGTGGCCAAAAAAACCCAAACAATGAAAGCAAACTACGTAGTAAAAGGATAAAAAAACATGAGAGAAGGCTTCCCTGGTGGCGCAGTGGTTGAGAGTCCGCCCGCCTATGCAGGGGTGCGGG